TATACTTGAAGCATTTTTTTAAAAAAACTCAATAAATATTCAGTTTCATTTAATACAAGCTTCTCAAAAGCTTTCGTATTCTCAAAGCTTCCAGGCTGTTGGCAAAAATTCACAGAAAGCATTACACATTTAGAGTGCTGGGTTTACATGCGTTTGCCCCATAATCTCTTTTGCTTTCCCTCCCTAACCAAAGTATTTTTTCCAGTACGGCTTCAGTAAACAAAGTAGTCCTTTATTCCCCTGTAGATGGTACTGAGACAGGGCATGAGGAGCAGTGCTGTGCTAGCAGCACCAGAGAGCTATTTTTGCTTAATAAAAAACCAATGCCTTTTTCTTATGAGGCACAGCAAGCTTTACATTCAGGAGAAGTTTTGTTTCCACGGTTCCTCTTGCCAAGAAAGCGTCTTGGTACATCCCATCTGGCTGTGAGTATTAAGATTACACTCCCACATTGCAGTTCATGACTGTTGTAAGGGATGTATAAGACATAATCGCATGTTTATATAAGTTATGATGACAAAGTGTTGCTACTGCTGCTTTCGATTCCTATGTGCTTTAATTTTAAATCTGCTGAAACGAATACATTGGAGTAATGATAGAATGTCTACAAGAGAGTGAAAACTGATGGGACGGTACCACCCAGGGACGGCTCAATTCCCCAACTGTCTTGTGGGCTGCAGAGCCGTGCACCTGCTCTGTGTGGCCACTGCCACATTGATGAAAGAAGCTCTCAGCAGACGGCACACCTCCAGCCCCTGCCATGAATATCACTCAACAGAAGGGGGGGGGGGGGGTTTAGGGAAATGATTTCTTTACCAAACCTGCCACTAGTAGTATTTGTGTTTGTTGTGGGAAAGTAAGCTTTGAGAGCACACACGAGGTCTGAAGGCTTTTGCATACCTCATTCGAGTTTCAGAATCAGTTGCTTCTACAGCAAATATAAAAATTTAGTTAGTCAGTTATGCATCTGCCCATCTTTTCCACAGACAAACTCAATGGCAGAAAATATCCATTGCTTCTGCTTTCATGCAATGCGGAGTTTTCACATATTGCTTGGTAATTTCTCGGGATGGCACACCTCTCGAAGCCTGCAGCTTATCTAGAAAGAAGAAGATACATTCTTCTGTCTGCCCTGGCCACCTTCTCCAGATTGGAAAGTGCCAGGGACACTTTACAACCCCGCAGAAAGGGCAAGATAGGAACAGCTGCAAGACCCTTCCCTCTTTATCCATCCACCGTAAAAAAAATAAAAATAAACGAGCAGCCTATCACTACTAGAGTCCTGCAACAGAAGGCAGAGCATGAGCTGAGAGAACCGAGTAAGGGGACGTTCTGGAAACTTCATGCTTCTTCATTTCTATTATTACTGTTCAGAGAGTAAAACATTTCCTAAAAGGTAACTGAAAAAGGATGTGGAAATAAATAATCCACTAACATGTCTTCTATCAGACAGAGAAGATGAATTATCTACTGTTTTGAAATCTTCTAAAAATATACAAATTTAGAAGTAAAATTACTTAATCTTCCCCTGACCACAGAAAGAACTCTATAGTCAGTGGATATAGTTGTCAGGATAGACATATGCCCAAAGGCATACAAAGGAATGTTCATCGAAACATATATTTTAGTAGACAGAATACATTATTCACCAAAAGGGTTAAAAGTGGTCTTGAAAAGCAACTCTGCTCCTACAGAGATCTGGCTCAGCAGGTTAAAAAAAAATAAGGCTGGCTCAGCAGAGATTTTTCTAAAAAATGTGTATGTTGACAGCAAGTTTTTATTCTAAGTCTTGTTATACACATGAGAAATACATAAGCAGAAGAATCCATTAATTACTAGATTGTGAACACTACATTTAGGGGAGTTAGCAACTGCACATACCCGTTCCCAGGAGAGGTTAGATCATCTGTCATTCAGGTCTGCATGTTTAATCCCTAAATTACATATAAACATCTAATCCAACCAAATTCTCTTATTGCTATTTCTCCTATTGCCAGTGCTCCTCCTAATAGCAAGCCTGATTGTTGAGGGCAACCAAATGGGGCCACCCAAGGATAAGGGAGAGGTTTCTGGCACAACTTTGTAATTTTTTAGAAAAGGAAAGTAGATTGAGAAGGACAAAGCAAATGACAGAGGCATGGAAAGTTGTCAGTTTAAAACAAATATGAGGGGTGGGTGACAAATGCACCATTCAAGCTCATAATGGCTAATTGTACACTTGCAGGAATGAGGTGTGTAGCCCCTCAACCAAGCTCTCTGATATGCCACAAGGAGAAAGACAAAGCAACCTTCCCCTCCACTTTACCAACTATGCTCAGGGCTAGAAGAACAGTTCCTGCTCACCTAGCCTCAAGTCTCAGCAACAGGATGCTACATTGTTGAGGTTTGGGCCTAGGTGAGCTAGAAGCTACCTACCAGTCCCAGTGGGCTGCAATCTCATGATACTGGAAGAGGGGAGGGTATTAAAGATGAAAACTCACACATACATGGCATATAGGAACTAGTGATTCATAAGCTGGGACTATATTGTTGTGTGTGTGTTTTAGGGTTGACCATTTTTCTACCACTGCTGCACCAGGAAGCCAGGACCAGGAGGTCTCTTGGCCTCACTCTAGCTGCGTGTTTCTATGAAGCTGCTCAGACCAAGACCGATCACTGATCAATTTAGTTAACGTAGCTCAGTATTGCCTACTCTGACTGGCAACTATTTGATCCATGCTCTTTACTACAGAAGTAGAATCTTATCCTTGTCAAAGCTTTAGAGTTATTAAGCCCATGTCCATGTCACTATGACCTCTACACTGCAATCCCCACCTGCAAGGTCCACAAATAGAATACTGAGTAAAAGCATAATGGATTAAATTCCATTTGCTTGAAGATTTCACCCAATGGTCTCTCTTTAATGCACCTCACCTGCCATAGCGCATTTTATTTACGAGAGCACCAAAACAGTCAGAAGTGGATCCTCTAAGGTCCCCAGAGCCTGATGGGGGAAAGACAGAAAAGATACGTCTCTGTAAGTGGAAAGCTTGTAGGAACCAACACACTGGATTTCCCCATCTCTACTGTTTAATCCTCTAATACAGTGGTCTTCAGCTCAGGTGTCAAGACCCTCAGGTAGGTCACATTGTCCCACCTTATAAATTACTAGTTCCTGCTTTTTAGATGGACTTACTACTAGACTGCATGTGTAGAGAGCGAAGGAACTATACCTCCTGCTTCTCTCTGCACACACATTGAATCAATAGGACAGTGAGGCAAGGTCATTCAGTAGTGGAGATTTTTGTGAGTGTCCTGATGAAT